CATGCTAGCAATTAGAAGACACTGATCAGGCATTTATTTTCTCTCCTTAATGGGTTTTCCATGATTAAAAGAATAGGAATCAATGCGGATTGCGAATGGAGGAGGAGGTCTGAAACTATCCTCTATTTGTAGAAGAAAATGTGATAAAAGCCTCATTTGGAACTCCTCCCTGAGAAATATGGGCATACGGGACACCAGTCTTTCTTCCAGCCCTGCAACTATTGTGGCCTAGTTACTTGAGGTAGAAGGGCCTACACACCCTAAAGCCACCAGATCCTGTCTCATCTTGGAAGCTACACAGGGTCACCCATGGTTAGTATTTGGATGGGGGACTGCCAATCAATACCAGCTGCTGTAGACTATATTTCAGAGGAAGGAACTGGCAAAATCATCACTAAGTATTCCTTGCCTAAGAAAACCCTATGAAATTCATGGTGTCTCCATAAGCTGACAGGCAACTTGAAGGCACATACATAGTTGCTTGAGGTAGAGCCGAGATTAATCTTTTTATACTCACATATGACATACCAAAGTTTCAGCCATTCTGTTTTTGCTCTGACACTATCATCTTCACTATCATGACTCCTCAAACAGGACCAGTTGAAGTTGCCAGGAGAATTACTGAAAGAAGAAACATATGAAGAGGATGGAAATAGAAATAACAAGCATTGGAAGAAGAATTATGAAGAATGCCTGCATTATTATTATTATTATTATTATTATTATTATTATTATTATTATTAGATTTATTTATTAAGCGCCATAGATGTACATGGTGCTGTACAAAACCAAGTAAAGTCCAGAATATATAAAAAGCCTGCCTGTGGTGTACAATCTAAAAGTTAAAACAACAAATTAAAACATCATAAAAAACAAGTTAAAACATCAAATATCCAATATTAAGTCACATCAGGAACAACCAGGTCACGATCACACACATGCATTCATATATTACAACAAAATTGTTCAATTGGCATTGTTATTTGTACTTGGTGTTGCATCTCTGTAAGAGAGGCAAGTTTAAATGTAATAAATTAAATATTGTGGGTGATTGATTATAAGAAATAGGAAGGTCAGCTCTGTTTCTTAGGTGATGTCTTGTAGCACCTTAAAGATTAACACAATTATAATGGCATATGTATCTGATGAAATGGGTCCATTGAAGCTCATGGCATAACAAATAAATGTGAATGTAATCCTGTAACGTCTATATAGGCATGAATTCAGTGGTGCATATTCCCATGTAATATGTGAATAAGCCCCATTACATTAAATGAGAACTAGTTTTAAACAGACATATATAGGATTGTACTAACCATCTTTAAGATGCTCCAAGACTGTTGCTTTTGATGTAAGACACTGCCTAACAGGAAACAGTTACAACAGGGTGCAAGTTGCCCCCAGACTGACTCTCAGACCAAATAACCTGGATAACCTTGGCAATGGTCCCTTTGGGTTGAAAGTGCTGCTAGTGAATGGTAAAACACCTGCCTTTCAGAACTTGATCCTGGATAGGCATAACAGAGATGTGGTGGGATGACATGGGGAGTTGACCACCAGTGTTTTCTGGTGTAGTAGCAGGTGAGACCTGGGGGTGGCAGCATGAGATGGAGTTATAGCAATCTATTGGGATTCTAGCTTCCTGACCAGGTGTCTTATCCCAGAATCTGTATCTGAAGGTTTGTTTGCTGCTCAGTGCCTGTAGACTGGACAGAGCAGTGCCTGTAGACTGGACCCTCTTCAAGTTATCTGCCAGTTGCTCTATTTGCAATCTCATTTGATCAAACTACCACTCCCTGGAAACTAAAGGCCTTTGCAGACTGCCAGAAATAGTGCACATTAAATTGAGGCACTGCCCTGGCTCAGTGCTAGGGAATCATGGGAACTGTAATTTATTGTGGCACCAGAGCTCTCTGACAGAGAAGGCTCAATGTCTCAGAAAAAAATACAATTCCCATGATTCCCTAGCACTGAGCCACGGCAGTGCCTCAATTTAATGTGCACTATTTCTGACAGTCTGCAAAGGCCCTAAGGAACCGGTTTGGCTCCATTCCATGAGAAGACATGTTCAAGAACAATTGTGTTCATTGCCGTGGCCATTTCCTCATTCCAGAAGATGGCCAGAGTTTTGACAGAATTGCTTGCCAAGGCAGTAGGAAGCTCCCTAAGAGCCATCAGGAAGCCATCCAAATCTATCAGTCATCTGGAATGGGTTTACTACCCTGCAAATGTAGTGATCTGTCCATTACAACAGGACTAGTGCCTTCATGCCCAGTTCACCTCGCCCAGCACAGAAAATGAGGTCCAGGGTGTGTCCATCAGCACAGATGGGGCCATATACCACTTGGGGACTGTCGTGGCCCAGGGCTCAAGACTCCAAGGATGAGGATGATTCTCCAGCTCAAAGTGTGGAACTTGTGGCAACCTCAGGAGACACGGAGCCAGGACTCAACTGGGACTAATGAAATATAGGCACCACCAGAATGACTGGAACAACTGGATGAGAAAGCATGGCCCCCAAGCCCAACTGGTAGAGAAGATAGCAAAACAAAGGTATTTAATGTGGCTTCTTGCCAAGCAAAAGGAGAAACTCTCTTAATCAAGAACACTTGGCTGTTGCCAATTTAAGAAACAGCGGTGACCCATGTTCCCTGTTGGGAACAACAGTCTGATATCTGGCTCTAACGTGGTGTTCCTGTTTTCAGTATCTGAAATTCCTGACCTTTGGACTGACTGCAAATCCTGAATTTTGGACTGTTTTTTTTTTACTTCTGAATGTCTCATTCACAAACAAACCCTACCAGGCAATTTTGCTTTCCAGATACCTTGGGTCTTAATGCATGAGAAAACAAAGCAGAACCAGAACTAGAGACCAGCGGCTTTCTTCATGCCTTATTGCATGACATTGTAGCGGTTCGGTTCTCTTCCCAAGGGAGATGTTCATAAAAGCATGTCTTTTGTTTAATGCATTTTTCCAAATAGAAAAAAGATGCACTTTTATGGCTGTCTCCCATGGGAAGAGAACTAAAGCACTATGACATCATGAACATGAGTCAACAGTGTGATGCAGCAGCTAAAAAGGCCAATGCGATTTTAGGCTGCATCAATAGAAGTATTGTGTCTAGATCAGGGGTTGGCAACCTATGGCCTGCGGGCCACACCCGGCCTGCCGAGGCCTTCCGACCGGCCCCTACCCGGTTTTGTTGTTGTTGCTGCGCGCGTGAGCGTGGGCACCATTTTGGTGTCCAAAATGGCGCACACGCTTGCGCACGCATGTGCACAACGGCGGGCACCATTTTGGAATGCCCAACGGAGCCGGCGTCATGCGCATGCCCCACCTGGAATACTGTGTCCAGTTCTGCGCACCACAATTCAAAAAGCACGTTGACAAGCTGGAGCGTGTCCGAAGGGGGGCAACTAAAATGGTGGTCTGGAAACCATAAAGCCCTATAAGGAGAGACTTAGGGAGCTGGGTATGTTTAGCCTGGATAACAGATGGTTAAGAAGTGACATGATAGCCATGTTTAAGTACAGTCCTCCTGCCCTATATGCTGGCTTGCCATACGTGGACTTGAGCTCACGTGGGCGGCAAGCTCGGGGGGACAAAATGGCACACACAATGCTGCAGGCGGGAGCACACCGCCATTAAAATCAACGGGACTTGAGGTCCCATGGTTTTTCCCATACTTGGGGGGTCTGGAACAGATCCTCCATATATACAGAGGGCCCACTGTATTTGAAAGGAAGTCATATTGAGGATGGAGCAAGCTTGTTTTCTGGTTCTCTACAGAATAAGGGGCTCTACAGATGGCCCCTAAGGGGTGGCTCTGTACCGCACCTGGAAGTGCCGGATTTGGGGCCACGGCATCCACATGCCGCGGCCCCAATCCAGCACTTTGCCGCTCCAAAAAGAACTGACAAATGCCGTTCCTTTTTGGAGCAGCAAAAAGCCGCCCTTGCCGTGGTGGCGGCTTTTCTGCACTCCTTTGGCGCAGCGTGTCTTCATGTGTTATTCATGAAGAATATAAAAAGTATATGTTATGCAACAATATGTATATTCTATCTATCTATGTATCATATATATATATATATATATATATATATATATATATGGGTGTTTGTGTTATTCTGAAGAATATAGCATGTATATGTTATGTAACAACATGTATCATATATATGTATATAGTCTGGATGTTTGTGTTATTCATGAAGAATATAACATGTATATGTTATGTAAAAATATGTATAATCTATCTATCTATATATCATATATATATATATATA